ATGTTTGGTAGAATTCTCCAGTGAAGCCATCTGGGCCAGGGCTTTTTTTTTGTTGGGAGTTTTTTTTTTTTTTTTTTTAATTACCTTTTCAATCTCTTCTCTTGTTATAGGTCTGTTCAGATTTTCAACATCAATTTGTGATAGTTTGGGTAGGTAGTGTGTTTCCAGAAATGTTTCCATTTCCTCTAGGTTTTCAAATTTGTTCGAGTATAGTTTTTCATAAAACTCTATTAGGATGCTTTTTATTTCAGTTGGGTCTGTTCTAATGTCCCCCATTTCATTTCTTATTTGAGTTATTTGTGTCCTTTTCTGTTTTTATTTTGTCCTTTTGGCTAGTGGTTTATTGATTTCGTTGACTCTTTCAAAGAACCAACTTTTGGTTTTGTTGATTCTTTCTATTATTTTTCTATTCTCTTGTTTCATTTATTTCTGCTCTGGTCTTTATTTCCTTTCTTCTAGTGGCTGTAGGCTTCTTGTTTTGTTCTCTTTCTGTTTGTTTGAGTTGTGTAGCTAATGTTTTGACTGTCCCTTTCTTCTTTTTTGATGTGTGCATCTATTGTTATGAATTGACCTCTGAACACTGCCTTTGTTGTGTCCCAAAGGTTTTGGTATGATGTGTTTTCATTCTCATTTGATTCTAGGGATTTTTTGATTCCATCTTTGATTTCTTCTATTACCCAGTGGTTTTTAAGCAGGGTGTTATTCAGTTACCATGTAATTGATTTTCTTTCCTTGCTCTTCCTGTTGTTAATTTCTACTTCGATGGTGTCGTGACAAGAGAAGATACTTTGTACTATCTCAGTGTTTGGATTTTGTTGAGAGTTGCTCTGTGGCCTAAGATATGGTCTACTCTGGAGAACGTTTCATATGTGTTGGAAAAGAGTGTGTACTTTGCAGCTGTTGGGTGGAGTGTTCTATATATGTCTATGAGGTCAAGTTGGCTGATTGTGGCCTTTAGGTCTTCTATATCTTTGCTGAGTTTCTTTCTAGATGTTCTGTCCTTTACCGAGAGTGGTGTGTTGAAGTCTCCTACTATTATTGTCGAACTGTCAATTCCTCTTTTCAGTGTTGTTAGAGTTTGTTTTATGTATTTTGGAGCCCTATCATTGGGTGTTTATTGTATTAGATGTTTATTATGGTTATGTCTTCATGATGGATCGTCCCCTTAATCATTGTATAGTATCCTTCTTTGCCTTTATGGTGGATTTTGTTTTAAAGTCTATTTTATCTGAGATTAGTATTTCCACTCCTGCTCTTTATTGGTGGCTGTTTGCTTGATATATTTTTTTCCATCCTTTGATTTTTAATAAATTTATGTCTTTGTTTCTAAGGTGTGTCTCTTGTAGACAGCATATTGATGGATTCTGTTTTTTATCCATTCTGTCACTCTCTGTCTCTTTATGGGTGCATTTAGGCCATTTATATTCAGTATAATTATTGATAGATGTGAGTTTATTGCTGTCATTTTGTAGTGCTTTTTTTTGTGTTGCTGATGATTTGTTTGTTCCTCTTACTCTCCTGTGCTGAATTCCTTTTGTTTGTGGATTTTTCTTCATTTCTTTTATTTTTGTAGATTTTGTTTTTACTGAGACTTTATGTTTTTCTTCTTTATTTTGATGAGTAGGTTTGTTAACTTTCTTTGTGTTTACCTTGAATTTTCCCTTTTTTTTCTTGGTTTTGACCGGTTTTATTATTACTTGTTATCACCTTGCCTTCCTCTCCATTAGAAAGTTCTATACCTACACTGTTTATTCCTTCTTTTATTTTTCTGATGTTGTCGTTGGCAGAGTAACCTCTCTGGTTCCCTGTTGTAAACCTTTTGGTTTTGAATAGTCCTTGAGAGTTCATTTCCTAGGTTGGTATCTGGCTGGTACGATCTTGCATCCTAGATTCAGGCTGTCGTCTGATGTTTTTGCTCTCAAACCAAAGGACTCCCTTTAATAATTCTTGTAAGTTTGGTTTTTACATACTCCCTTAATTTCTGTTTATCTGGAAATGTCCTAAT